ATCTCCAGATTCACACTCTCAAAATCAACCACTTGGTATTGTATATGGCCCATACGGCCCAGGGAAGATCCATCTCGGAACATATATATCACTGACTATAAGTCACCAGTACCGAGGAAGGCCAATACAGCCTTGTGGAGAAGATCCATCTCCATATAATATCAATTGCGCTCACTGGGTGTGTGTGCAGACTCCGGAGGGGCTCATTCAGCCCAAGCACTATCATAAATCAGTATCAATATCAGAATCAATCAGGGCCTCAACCTCACCCAGTCATCAATCTCTCCAGTCTCTCTCTCTCATGGGCTCACAATGTCATGAAATAGCCCGAAAATGATGTTATGATGTATCAATAAATAACAACAGAGGCTGAGATATGACATGCATATGAATGCGTATGACTGAGTATGTAATGCAATGAAAGCAGATAAATTAACAACAGAAATGACCTCGGTGGGTCCCAACAGGATAAACATGTAGTCTAAACATAGTTTATAGCATGAATCACATTTTGATAACTCTAGTACGTAGAGATTTCATGACTTCAGACAAGTTCAAATAACTACACAGTACCACATAAATAACTGTCATAGTTCACACGGTGCACGCTCACACGCCCGTCACCTAGCATGTGCGTCACCTCAACACCAAATGCATAACACGTATACTTAGGGTTCATACCCTTAGCTCCAAGATTAGAAGAGTTACTTACCTCGAACAAGACGGATCCAATTCCGAGCAAGATAAAAAATGCCCGAGAAATTCCACTATGCACGTATCAACTTCTAAACGACTCGAATTCAGCCATAATAAATTTGATTCAGTCCACACAATTTATAGGAATTAATTTCATAACAAAATACTAATATTTTTTTACAAAATCCGAAATTACGCTCCAAAAATTGTATGTGGGGTCCACATCTCGGAATCCGACAAAACTCATAAAATATGACAATACATCCAATTACAAGTTCAACCATACTAATTTCACTCAATTCCGACTCCAAATCGATGTTCAAAACTTAAAATTTCATATTATGAACTTTAGGCCAACACCCCCAATTTACTCTTTAAATTCATCAACCAATCGCTAAAAATGAAGATAGATTCATGGAATATAATCATAAGGGAGTCAAGAACATTTATTCCAAGTTATGTGAAAAACTTCCTCTCCAAAGTCGCCCAACCCGGGCTCCAAAATGTCCAAAATGAGAAAAATCTTGAAAAACCCTCATTTTTAACACTGCCCAGGCATTTTCGTCGCACCTGCGCATCCGCTTCTGCGGATGAAAATACGCGCCTGTGGACACAGCCAGCCCTCCAAAGCCTCGCAGATGCACATTCCCCTTCGCACCTGCGTTCGCCCCAGGCCAGTCCCGCATCCGCGCCAACCACGCCGCACCTGTGGCCAAGACCCTCACAGGTGCGATCACACCAGAGGTAGCAGTTCCTGCATTTTCCTTAAGTCCGAATTTGATCCGTTAACTATCCGAAACTCACCCGAGGCCCCCAGGACCTCAACCAAATATATCAACAAGTCCCATAACATAATACGGACCTACATGATGCCTCAAATCACACACACAAAAAAAGAATCACACCTAAATTCAAAATTAATGAACTTTGAAACTTCAACTTCCACAACCGATGCCGAAACCTATCAAATCAGGTCCGATTGACCTCAAATTTTGCACACAAGTCACATTTCACATTACGGACCTATTTTAAATTTCCAAAATCGGATTCCGACCCCGATATCAAAAAGTCAACCCTGGTCAAACTTCCCAAAATTCAACTTCCGCCATTTCAAGCCTAATTCCACTACGGGCCTCTAAATAATTTTTCGGACACGCTCCTAAGTTTAAAATTACCATAGGGAGCTATTGAAATTATCAAAATTCAAATCCGATATCGTTTACACATAAGTCAACATCCGATTGACTTTTTCAACTTAAGCTTTCCATTATGAGACTAAGTATCTCAATTTATTCCAAAATCTCTCCGGATCCAAACTAACTAATCTGATAGGTCATAATACAACTATAAAACATAAATCGAGCAATAAATGGGGAACGGGGTTGTAATAATAGAAACGACCGGCTGGGTCATTATAATTAATGACGGGGATGGGGTGAGGAATGTGGGGTATGACTTTGAGGAAGTTTGGAGTGGTGCCGCCGTTGTAGGGCGATTTCCTACGGCGGCTCTGAGAGAGAATCAAAGAGATGAAAGATAAAGGGAAGTGGAAGTATTCTCTAAGGTTGGGGGAGGGGGGATTCAGACAGTTATATGGGGATGGGGTGGTCAGTTCCTAGCCGTCGGATTGACTTAGATGAGGGGATATGATCCTTTGTGAAAAAACGACATCGTTTTGGAACATTAAAATAGGACCAGGTGAATTAAAAGTCTGGGTTGGGGATTCTACGGCTTTTGGGCCTCACCATGAACTTGCCCATATGAAATTTAAAGACCCAAACAAGCCTACTTCTTTCTTACTTTGATTTTAAGCTCTAGTCAAGTTAATTAAAATCCTAAATTAAATCCTAACTCAAATCTAATATGCAAAATTAAACCTACTTACCTATTTTTTTTTAACAATTAACTAATTTAATTAACTAATAATGCATGTAAAGTTACTAATATATGTGATTTTCATGTATTAATCCTACAATTAATAAGTGATTAATTTCTAAAAATACAATTAAAACCTAAAATAACAGGGAATGAAGAGCTGAGCAGGGACTTCCCAAATGAGGGATCTAGGGTTTAAACTCACTTGCATACCTTTTCGGTCGAACGTGTCGCACATGATTTGCCTAGTACGATTTACCCTCTTGTGTGATTTGCGGACTATTACACAAGAGCAGAGTTTACCCTGTGAGTACTCGAAAGGTAACGACCACAGATTCTTGTTAGAGAAAACACTTAGTTAATCACATAATACTTCTCCTTTATATAACTCATATGTCCATGCAACCATCACATAAAAATCTTCTATTTAAGGAGAGATACAAATGTATATATATAGCCATGGATATATCCATGATAAACTCACTCTCACTTGCAATATAGAATTTGCGAAAGCGCAATGCACGTGATAAGAATTATAGCTTAATAAATTAAGTGCTAGTAAACAAGTTAGAGCAATTAATTGATTAGGAAAAAAAGAGGAATGAGTTGTACAAATATTTTATTAGGTTGTGATGAAAAATGATTAATTAGAGCATGTTCGGAATAAAATCAATCTTAGTATATGTGACAGCTAATGATCCGCTTGTATAGATTGGAGCTACCTTGTTAACTGTTATTAGAGAGAAAAGAGAATTATTTTTGAACTTGTCAATGCACAAATTTTTTTCTCGCTCTACAAATGTTAACATATTGTGTACAAGAAAGAGCAAAAAATATAATATTTGTTATTCTCTTTATTAATTAAGAAGCATTCTATAGTCTTTTTCTCTCTTTTTTCTCTCGATCCCAATTTCCGCTTTTGACTTACTCCCTTTGTTTCAAATTTGATGAGTTACTTTCCTTTTTAGTTAGTTCCAAAATAAATGACATATTTTTATATTTGGAAATAATTCAACTTTAAACTTTTATTTTACCTATTTTAACCTTAATGAGAAACTTATATAACCACAAAATATCATGACTCCAAAAAGCTTTTACCTCTTAAACTTTTAAGACAACGAGTTTCAAAAGTCTTTTTTTAAAAAAATTTTGTGTCGAGTCAAACTATCTTATCTAAATTGAAACAGAAAAGTATTGTTTAACGTGTTACTGTATAACCAGGTCATATAAATCGGAAAAAGTAAACTTTGGGAGAATCTCTCTTTTTTTACTAGTGCTTTAGACAATTTTTCACCTTTTGCATTCTTTGACATTTTGTTTTACCTTAGAACAGGTGGTGAATTGGCAACACTCATTGCCAATTTCGTCTTAAGAGTTAAGAGTCAAGGAAATCTTTTAGCAAACTTCTTGTTATTAGTTTATTTACTAAAAATACAATTTAAAGGATAAGCTTATTCATTTCTTAATTTGTTAGGGTCAAATTGACGTTCAATTAATTTGCGCCTGAAACATGTGTTTTATGAAGGCAAAAACATAATGACAAGTATATCAAGTTCAGAATCTTTGCGTTTATTTGAAATGGAGATGTTGACGTTTTCTTTTACATCCACATGTAACCAAAGTAAAAATAAAATGTCTGAATGGGAAGTGGGAACTTAAAAAGCGAATACTTTAGCTTTTTTTCTAAAGGGCTTGTCGGTAGAGAGTTGAACTAGTATTTAGACATAAATTTGATTTGAAAAAATAAGTTTTTGAAGATGAGATGAAGGACCCGCTTGGCCATAAATTTAGCCAAATTTTTTCCATTTTTTTTGTTGCCAAATACGTGTTTGTTCATAAATTGTATTCATATTTTGGCAAATTTTCAAATCCCAAATCGCAAAATCAGCTCAAAATTGCAAATCGCAAAATCGCAAAACAAGAGCTGGTTTTGGCCCAAAATATTACTATTAAATTTTTATTTTATTTTTAAAATTGCCCCAAACTTCTGTATTTTATAAAAGAGCCCACTATTTATTATATTGTAACAATGTTGTTTCATCTTGTCAATCATATGATATTGTATTATGCAGTTCATTATAAAAATAATAATTTTGTACTAAATTTATTTATGAACCGTTGATATCCAATTTTTTCCTACCTTTCCTTCAATTAATTTCTTTGTGTTTCTTGATCTTTACTACCTTGGACAAGTTATTTTATATAGTTCTTGCTTTTCAATATTTTTTGCTTAAAACAATGCTATATTAATATTATATTTTAGTCCAAGTTATTAATACAAAGAAGCCCAAAGAAATCGATTTAAAGAAGGGAAAAAAGCCTACCAATTTCAGCCAACCCATTCTCTTTCATTAGCCTACCCAATTCCCATAGACCCAATATGTCCAAGCCCAAATATCATTCCTAAAAGAACTTCAACTCTTAAAGATTAAATTAGGTTTTCTTCTCATTGCCAGCAACGTCTCCTTCCCCCTTTTTTGCAAACTTCACCATGGCAGACTATTACCTCAGAATTGTTCCTCCATTTTTGTGAAACTCCGTACAATTGCGTTTCTCTAGCCCCTTTCTAGCACAAGATTAAGTCAACAGTAGAGGTCAAAGAACCTTTGAAATCTCTGAAAAGGCAGAGATAACAGAGATTTAAACGGCTCTTTTTCGGACTCCACACTCAACCCGTGACCCTTCTGATTTTGGATTCAAATTTCAAATCAAAACTCAACTTCCATCTATAAATACTCCCCAAAGGCTTCAGACGAAAGAGAGCTCGAACACGGTGAAAACCAAGTTTTTGGACCATAAAAAATCTCTCTCGACTCAACTCAATCTTTCAATCTTGATTTTTCTTTTAGCACATACAATCTAATACTCAAAAGTTCTGTAATTTTGTTGTTCAACTCTTGTCTTGTGGAGTAGATCTAAAATCTCCAAAGTTCCAGTTCACTGCCCCTCAAGAGGTAAATTCTAATCCACTTTGTTTATTTTATTGTTGTTAAAATACTATGTTTTAGAAATCATGTTTATAGAAGATTGTTACTGCTGGAAATCGCGTGTTAGGTAAAAATGTTCATGAGTTACAGTGTATGTTAATGTTAGTTATATCTGTTTATTTTAAATTAGATTAACATGAACTTGTTTTGTATTAAGATTTTATTTGTATCATTTAGATCTCAGAACCTTAGTGAAAGTTCTGATTATTTTATATTACCCACATAGAATTGAAAAGTATTTGCAGTAGAAATCATATCTTAGGTCCTTTTTTGCACATGTTAGATACTATTTAAGAATGTAGCTTTGGATTAAATAACTTTGAAATGTTCACTTCATGCTTGCATTTCTTGGGGGAAGTGCACAGTTAGCCACTAATTAGAGCTTTATTTACTCTTTAGCCACCGTTTAAAATGTATTTACTCTTTAGCCAGTGCTTTAATGAACTTTTAATGAACGTTTACTTGCTTTAATGAACTTTTACCCGCCCAGACAAAAATACCCCTGTGCTAGACATGTTGTCCTTAACTTCATGACTGTTGTGTAAATATTAAGGACAAAGTGTCCTGAATTAGCACCTTTTGTTTTAAACTTTAGGACATCATTTCCTTAACTGCATATGTGCAGTGTAAATGTTAAGGACATGGTGTCCTTAACTTCATGAGTGTTGTGTAAATATTAAGGACAAAGTGTCCTGTATTAGCACCTTTTGTTGTTAAACTTTAGGACATCATGTCCTTAACTTCATACGTGCAGTGTAAATGTTAAGGACATGGTGTCCTTAACTTCATGTGTGCAGTGTAATGTCCTTAACTTCATACGTGCAGTGTAAATGTTAAGGACATGGTGTCCTTAACTTCATGTGTGCAGTGTAATGTCCTTAACTTCATGAGTGTTGTGTGACATGGTTCGCTTAATATCCAGAAGTTAAGGACATTTCAAAAACGTTTGTCCTCAATATTAAATTCCTAGTTCAATATTTCAGGACACTTAGAAAATTATGTCCTAGCATTTACTTGTTTCGCTTCATGTCCAGAAGTTAAGGACATTTCAGAAACGTTTGTCCTCAATATTAGATTCCTAGTTCAATATTTCAGAAAGTCTATGGAATTTCCCTTGGAAAACTTTCAGGAGATGTCGTCTCTGTAGGATACATTTAGAGCCTTTTCCTTTAATTGAGCAAATTATAGCATTATTTTCCCTTATGAATGTTTGATATGCCTGGTTGTGCTTATTTCCCTAGTTGGCAATATCATAGTGTTGTTTGAAGAGTACTGAATTGCAAGATGTCGTCTCTGTAGGATACATTTAGAGCCTTTTCCTTTAATTGAGCAAATTATAGCATTATTTTCCCTTATGAATGTTTGATATGCCTGGTTGTGCTTATTTCCCTAGTTGGCAATATCATAGTGTTGTTTGAAGAGTACTGAATTGCAAGATGTCGTCTCTGTAGGATACATTTAGAGCCTTTTCCTTTACTTGAGCAAATTATAGCATTATTTTCCCTTATGAATGTTTGATATGCCTGGTTGTGCTTATTTCCCTAGTTGGCAATATCATAGTGTTGTTTGAAGAGTACTGAATTGCAAAAGCAATTCTACTTGAATAAAATGAAAGAACAAATTAGACAATTTTGTATATATTGTAATTTATATCAAATGTATAAAAGGTTCAGTGACAAGTGTGAGAATATGCTACGAAATTGGTTATGACTTCAAATATTAAATCTTGATCTTATGCAAATATCTAAATCCTTTTCTCTTTGTATGTTGTTTTCTCTAGGCACAGTTTATTTATTTTTAATTAGAAGACTATACAATGCCGCTGGGACTGTTGTTAGGTTTAGGGAGAACTTTCAGAAGAAAACGCACTTCATCTCTCGACATTCTTACTTCAAAACGGGTTCCTCGAGGCTACTACAAGGGAAAGAATTGCAAGCCTACTGGTTTCCACACTCGCAAAGGTTTGAAATCTCTATTCAAGTGTTGCGAACTACTATTCTTTTGTCTTTTCTCTCTAGTTGGAACATATTTTCAATAGCTTTACAGGAATTTCTATATTTCAATGAATACTGATTGGTACCCAACTACCTGTAGTATTTGGTACACTAGATGCCAGAAAAAAGGTTGAGCCTAAAGGTTTGAAATCTCTATTCAAGTGTTGCGAACGACTATTCTTTTGTCTTTTCTCTCTAGTTAGAACATATTTTCAATAGCTTTACAGGAATTTCTATATTTCAATGAATGCTGATTGGTACCCAACTACCTGTAGTATTTGGTACAGTAGATGCCAGAAAAAAGGTAGAGCCTAAAACTGCACGATGCCATCACCATTCGCCACCATTGTTCTACTCGGAAGTCGGAAGTGAAATCTTTATGCAGTCTTGACATATAAATGAATTTTTTTCTTATCATCTATGGTTAAGCTCGTAATGTTAGTAAGTCTTTTACGTCTCATACTTTTGAGAAAGATTATGATTTGATTGATCTATGTGATTGCTTATGCACCTCTCTAACCTACATCGTGATATATGTATCCTTACTTTTTCTTTCATCCCCCTTCTCCAATTTCCAAATGGTATGTAAAGTGGTATATCTGAGGAGTCATATGATGTTTGGCTTGAATCATCAAACGAGAAAAGAAGGAGAGTACGGAAAACCTGAACAAAATGTTCTGACTTTGTTTGTTACCTGAGAAGATGTATCGTGTATGAAACTAAGGATAATGTTTTTGAAAATGACATGGTGTTTTGTTTGATTTGTTACAAAAATGGACATTACTTGCAGTTTTGTTTGATTGTTACAAATTCCAGAGGTACAAAAAGTTTAACCTTAGGTTTTTGACAGTGAAGATATCGTATATCATTTTTTCTCTATTTTTCTTGCTAAGTTCATACCCGAGAATAGTAGTCTTATTGGAAGTTTATGTTTGACTGTTTCCTCGACATAATCTTAGATTACTGTTATAACCAGGAAATCCAGTCTCCTCGATGTAAACAAATTGTATGGTTGCAGCTAAGGCCATTGAATTTCTTGTTCTTGTCGCCCAGCCTATTTTTGTCTCAATTCCAACAATCATAATGTGTCCGTAATGAAAAAGTAGAAATACTGAATTCCCTTACTTCGAAAGCTATATATTCCAGGGTTTTATGAAGCTGGAAATATCAATAATTATTTTTGGTCACATAGAAGCACACCGATATTTCTGTATATATCTAATAACAGATTGTTCTTTCTTGTTCCAGGTGGTTATGTTGTTATGCAAGAGAAGCTGCCTAACTATGTAGTTCCAGATTTGACCGACTTCAAGGTATTTAACTTTGACTGAAGTATTAACCAATCAACATTTTTTCTGATCAATGTTCCTTTCGTTGCTCACCTTCTAGCCTTTCCACTTGATGAAGAGCAATCAAACGTAATTTTCTTTTTTGGTAACAATTGTGAATATTACCATTGATAACAAAATTAATCAAATACACCTAGAGAGCTCCTAGCTTCTTCAAAGAAACTGGGACTCCATAATATCTTTAATTACACAATAGTCTCTGTATGAATCCTCTACTCCTATATCCTCTATTTGACACTTTGATCATCTCAATTCTCTCTCGTCTCTTTTAATCTGTGTAACTATAGTATTCGTCTGTACACTTCCACCCTGAAACAGTTTTTTATTCCTAGCAGCCACTACTTCCTTCTTGAGCTTCTGCCAGTGCTTCCTTCTAATAAATGTAAAAAGATTAAACTTACTGTAAATAAATTGCACAATAGTCTCTGTATGAATCCTCTACTCCTATATCCTCTATTTGACACTTTGATCATCTCAATTCTCTCTCTTGTCTCTTTTAATCTGTGTAACTATAGTATCCGTCTGTACACTTCCACCCTGAAACGGTTTTTTATTCCTAGCAGTCCATACGTGATGAATTGTAGCCCCCCAAATAGCAGCCACCACTTCCTTCTTGAGCTTCTGCCAGTGCTTCCTTCTAATAAATGTAAAAAGAGTAAACTTACTGTAAATAAATTGCTAAAAGTAAAAAGAGTACCATGTGCTTTCATCACTCATTTACCCATGTTTTCACCTCTAGTCTTAGCCCGTTTTAGGTCATGCAGCTTGAAATGGTGAGCATGGTTTAGAGGAGTTGGTGAATATTGAAGTATTGACCAATCAGTATTTTCTCTGATCAATGTGCCTTTTCCGGTTGCTCACCTTCTAGCCTTTCCGCTTGATGAAGAGCAATCAAACTTAAAAGTATAACCATTCATTGTTCCATTTACGTTCATCAAACTTAAAAGTATAACCATTCATTGTTCCATTTACGTTCATCAAGAGTAAGCTTGATGTAAATAATTTGCTAAAAGTAAAAAGAGGCAACAGGTGCTTTCATCACTCATTTACCCATGTTTCCACCTCTGGTCTTAGCCCCATTTTGGGTTATGCAGTTCAGCTAAACTTAGCAAGTTGATAGCATTCCTTTAGATCTCTTTATCCTTTCTGCCATTCTAAGACTCTTTCTTCAGCTAGGGGAATGGCTGACAGAAAGAAAGGAAACAAACCGTCTTCCTCCTCCTCCCATCCCCACCCCCCACCCTTGCTTAAGGAGAGAATCTGTTATTTAACTGCAGTTGCTGACTTGCTTCCATGTTCTTATGTTCTTCCATATGTATTAGTTTATAAGGACATCTTGCTTTCTGATTTCATTCTGTATTTTTAAGTAGTTTTTAATTAAACAACGGTTCTACCAAAACAAATAGAGATGGTTTCAATAAGCTTTTCTTCCCCTTTTTTCTTTCAATTCTGTTCCTGCTCAATTGTATAGTCAAATCTCATCCATGCATGAACCAAAAGGAATAGGGTTATTTCTTAGTCGTATATCTCCCTTACAATGGACAATTCTGGAGTCCAACGAGTCCTATTCACCCTAACCCTTGCCTAAGAAGTCCTGAATCCTATTATCATATTTTCTTCCAATACTGTCTTGTAAATCAGTAATTGCCTATCAGACCGCCTACTTATAATAGTTTATAGTTTAAAAATACTGTTAATCATAATGCAAATAACAATTTAAATAAGGGTGATAACGATATAATTACAATGCAGAAAACAAAAATATATTGACAATGTAGGCACTGCAATCTTTACAACTATTTCTACTGGTTATCTGTTTAGAATTTATTTAAGTATTTGTCACATATATGCAGTAAATTTTCATGCTTCATGAGTGATACATTTTTTTTTAAATCAAGAATTTTTGAAATTAGTAAATATACTGGTTCAAGCGTATGTCTACCTCTTATTTTTTTGAAATTGTTGCACAAATTCATCTATAGCAACCTTTGTACCTTTGTATGTTTTCCAAATAAAATTGGATAGTAAAAATAAATGGTGTTTGCTGTAAACTAGCTACAAGTTTGTATCTTAAACTCTCTAAAAGTGTGTATACCATTCTTATTCTATCCTATTAATTAATTCTGATAAGTTAATTAATTAGTTGTTCTCTCTTAATAAAGAATTGAGGAAGATTAATGTTGGAATATAATATGATGCTAATAGCATTCAAGCCTCCGTTGAAAATTGGTATGAAAAGTAGGAGTTAACTTATTAGTCCCTAAGAGTTTTAATAGGTCCTAAAAGTCCGTCCCACAGATAGGGGCAGGTCTAGTTGATAAACACATTTCTTCTGGTGACGACCTTTTAGAGGATATCCAATTCATTGCAGCTTGTGTTAGTGTATGATAACGAGATAGAAATGCCGTCAATTTGCCTTTGGCATATTTTGTAACTTTTAAACTCGGAGTCTTGCCTAGAATATATGTGCGTGACAATCCTTTCTGTTATGCTCCTATTGGACCTGTATGTTTGTTATTACCCCCAGTACTCATCTTGTTTTACTTTCTCTTTTATTATTTTTGTTGTTTTGGAGAATTAATTATCTTGTTTACTCACATAAGGGATTTGTGAAGTAATACAGACCAGCATAAATAAGATCAGTCATGTCTAAGAACTATTTATAATTTCTGTTGTTCATAGAGTACCCAAAATCACTCATTGGCAATTTCTTTCCTGTCCATGAGATGATTAAAAAACGATATAACATTTGGAACTAGATTGTGGTCTATCTGGAAATGTGCTTATCAAAATATGAGATGTCTTCACTCGTTACTGCCTTTGTTCTTTTTCCGTGACGTATCGTAGATGAGGTAAGAGCCTTAGAGAGTGCATAACGATATATAGATGTTAAATAAGTTGGTCAGCTAGAGGTTTAACAAGATACTTTTTGTGAAGATAACACTATCTTGGTGTATTATTAATGAACTTCTTTTGATTCATCTAAAGAAATATATAATTTTCAGTCCCTTCTAGGAAATACGTTGGTACTTATGCTTTTTGTTTGGGCTCAGCACTTGCTTTTGATTTGTCTTTACATTCATTCACTTTCTTTTTGGCTAAAAGTTATCTAAAATGAAAACATTCTTTGGGTTATTCCATTATATTAACCTTTTCAAAGCCTTTTTAATATCTTGAAACAGGTTGTGCTTGAGGTAGGTTAAGACCTCGCACTTTCATAGCCCATGGATTAGGGCATGGACTTTTCAAGCATGCCCCAAATGAGCTAAATTTTCAGTAATCAGATTGCACTTTCTTGTATTCTGTGATCTGTTGCTTTCTTTCGTCTTGACATTCAATATTGGTGGGTGTTCACCTTTCACTCTTATCCAAGATAGTGATCCCCGTCTCAGCTTCTCTGGAAATTATCCATGAATTTACATAACTGCATTATGTACATAGTCTATAGTGTAGGTAAAAGAAACTAGTGTCTCTTTCTAGTGTAGTTGTGTAAGTTCTCGCTAGATCGTAGAAAATGTTTGTGGAACTTGTGACCCTTTTGTTTACTCATTTTATGTGAAGTTTTTTACACCTTGCAATTGATGAATTCCTTTCTTTTCTCTTTCTTTTGCAGCTGAAACCTTATGTATCCCAATGCCTGATAGAAATTAAAAGCACAAGTACGGAGGCAAACGAATCTGCAAAATAAGGTAGAAGGAGAAAAATGATGAACACTTCCTCCCATTTTCAAGTATATCAGGCTTTTCTGTCCTCATTTTCTAGCTAAACATGAAGGCGACAACTTGTTTCCCATTCTTGCACACTTCTACAGCTACATTCTGTTGGGATCAAGAAGTCTGGCCTTTTTTTTTTTTTTTTTTTTTTTTTTTTCATTTCTATTTTTAGGTACTCAACTTTTTAGCTAAACATGACATGGGTGACATGATCACCTCTCTTGGATACCTTTGTAGCTGCATTTTCTATGGAGATTAACTAGTTTGGTTGAATACCCCCCTAGACCAGAGGCGGATCCAGGATTCGGAGGTTGCGGGTGCCACACCATGTTATGCATACAGTATACATGTCAGTAGCTACAAAGACACATTAGGAATAATGTGTCGGTTCGCTTAGTTTTTGGTTAATTTGAATAGGCCTTTCATTCACAAAGCAAATAAGTTTGATTTTAGTTCAAATTTTTAACGCTTAATTTAAACACATTTTAAATAAAAATGCAAAAAGAAAAATAACATTTCATGAAAGAGCGCCTCTAATATAAATATTTTCTTAAAGAGTAACTTAACAATATATATTCTTTGTTTGACTAGATTAATTTACTTGTATTGTTCTTTGTTTATTTTTCATCTTAATTGTTGAGTTATATGATAATTATTTTCAAAGGAAAAATTTCTAACATTCAACCTATAATATTCGACTCAAAACACTATCGATCAAACCATTTAATTTTTTTTCAAAACCCAATAGAAGATATTGCTCAAATTATATTCCAATATATAAATTAATATTGTTTCATTAAAAATAAAAAAAATTATATGCTAATTAAAATCAATTCAAATTATCTATTGAAAATAATTGTTCATAAAGTAAGGTATAATGATATAAACAAAATGCGGACTGAAATTAAAAAAAAAAAAAGAACAGAGACTAAGCAAGTAATAAAATGAAGAAAAGGAGGGAAAGAGCCGAAAAAGAAGAAAAAATGGTGACACCCTAGGGCTCAACTGAAAATAAAGGAAAACTTAATAAGTAGAAAAAATGAAAAATCAAAGGAGTTGCTCTATCAGGGAATCGAACTTGCATTCATGATGTCAAAGAAAACCTTCAAAGGAAGGCTGAATCAATGGCACCCGCGTCCACTTTGTGACTTCTAGGTGTCACTGTATCCATCAAAGAGATATTATGTACATAATAAGAATTGTAGCGAACGGGTGCCATGACACCTACTTCATAAGGTAGATCCGCCCCTGCCCTGGACCAGAAAACGGCGAGGTAGTTAGGATAGGAATAAGATCAGTAGATACGCTTAGAATTAGGAGGAATAATTTGCAAATTCAATGCTTAAAGTTTAAAACAAAGGTATCTTTGCTGATTGGATTAAAATACTTAAAAGCAGAACCTTTTTCTTCAAAAAAGATAGAACGCGTGATATATGGTAGGTGCGCAAACTGTCTTCTACTCTTCTTTTACAAATATTCCATCTACACCAACTTGGATTAGGAAGGGGCATATATTGGGTATAATCGATAGCCTGAACCGATAAAATACTAATGAGTTATCGATATCGGGTTATTGGATAAATAGTTCGATAACGATTTAATGTTATTTGATTTTTAAGTTCGGGTCTCGGTTTTTTGCTAATTTTATTAATGGTTTAACCGATAGCCCAATAAACTTTAACAAAATTATAATTTTACTACTAAGTATATAAAGACACCTTATGACTTCATTTTCTCAATTCTTGACAGTTACTTTTCATCTTTATACCTTAATTATTAGAGTAAGTTTTAAACTTTTCTGAATTGTCATCTTAATTCTTGTCAAGATTTTTAAGCTTTAAAGAATCTGTAGTATTTGCAAGATTTGGATTTTATATTTTCCTATGAATTATGCCCGCTCGCAATGAAATAATTAGTAAGATTAGATTGTTGAATGTTTTATTCCTTACTCGTAGTAAATTATAACTTTCAAAATTGATATCATTCATTTGGATTTTCATATGCAAAGAAAGTTTTCTTTTCTAAAGTTGAAATTTAATCCTTATTTTCTTAAGAGTGAAAATTCAGGTCTTTTCTCTTATCAGTATGATCACGATTTCTTTAATAAAAACATGAAATTTTTGGATATTTTTATTCTTATTGGGTAAATAGATAATCGAACCGATAAAGATCGATAACCGACTAACCAATACATATCTTATCGGTTCGATTATCGGTTTAATATATTTATAAACCGATAACCGATATGTTGAACAACACCAACCGATGCCCACTCCTAAGGTGGATGTTTGTCCATTTTGGAGAGGGAGAAATGTAAGTTTAATTTGAAACCTTCGATGTATATTTGTCTATTTCGGTTAATTACCTTATTTTATTTTATTTTATTTTTGAAATATAGAAAAGGGACTTGGAAGAAATATGGTACTAATATATTAACATGGAAACTTAGCGCTCTTTCTTTTCTTTGTTGTTTGCACTCATGTCTTAATTTCAGCGTATAAATTCTTTCTAACAGGTGCCAATTCAAAGTGTATGCGGAAGTTATTTTCATCAAAAAATGTTTTTCTGGAAAATAAGAAAATATTTTCTATTTTCCGGTGTTTGATGGTAAGTGGAACAAGTTTTCTGAAAAATGTATATGAAAGATTAGTAATAACATTGGCAAATTATAGAGTGTTCTGATGGATTTTTTGAGTAATAAAGATTAATAATAATGTCCATGAAGTAAAAAAGTTAAGATAGTGGTGAGAAAAATGCTTGTTCATAAATGAGGGAAACTATTTTTTCCTTTTCTATGAAAAATGCTTTCCTTATAAAGTATTTTATTGTAATCAAATAATATGAAAATGGTTCCCATGACACATATTTTATTGAAAATTATCTTCCTGTTTTATCAAACACAATGGTGAACAAAATTAATTTTAGGGAGTATCTGACCTTTTCTTTCACTTCTCCCATCTTAGAGATCTCCAAATAAATTACTTTAATAAAATGGAAATAAACGTGGAAACTGAAAAAAGGGAACTTTTGCTTGCTAAATCATATAGTAGTAGTAATTGTGAAATCAAAATAAAGTATCATTTAAAGATTGGCAAAGGGCCAAATATACCCATGTACTTTCGAAAATGGTCTAGGAATACCATTCGTTATATTATTGGACTATGTATACCCTTCCCGTCATACTTTGGAACAAATATACCCTTATTTTGGATGGAGTGCCACGTGTCAGCACCAGATGAAAACGACCCATTTTTTTACCCGATCCGTTTTAAAAAATCCACCACCTGACCCGTTTTAAAATTCAGTTTTTTTAAAGCATATATTTTGTAAAAACTGAAATTTATTTTTGTAAAAACTGAAAAAAAAAAAGAATTTACAAAATATATATTTTTAAGTCTTTTCAGTTTTTTAAAAGTATTCTTTTTGTAAAAACTGAAAAAAATTATTTTTTTTTAAAATGCTTTAAAAACTGAAAAATATATATTCTGTAAAAACTGGAAAAAAAAAAATTTGCAAAATATATATTTTTATGTCTTTTCGGTTTTTTTAAAGTATTTTTTTGTAAAAATTAAAAAAAAAAATATTTTTTTTAAAGCTGGAAAAAAAAAGACTCTCCTAAATCAGTGGACTACATATGCATTAGTTTTAAAAAAATAAAAATATTTTGCAAAATCTTTTTACTCCTACACCCCTACTAAATCATATAATGATATTGTGAATAAAAATAAAGTATGATTTAAAATATTTGTACAAGAAGTTGAAGAATTTTGGGAGTCCGTTCCTTTGGTCGTACAAGAAGTATAATCTTCTAATTTACTCAATCTGTATTTTGTTATTCTTATTTAAATATTTAATTTAAAGTAAGATTATCAGAGTAAATTTCCACGCTTGCCCCACGTAAGAAAGTGTAAAGAAAGCTTCATTGCTTAGTCCTTTTAGCCACCGACTCAGCAAAACCAAACGGTTAGTCCAACACGAGTTCCATTTTTCCTTTTCTAATTAGTAAATTTCTAGCAGTGCATTTTGGGTCATCAACTTATAGACTTTTCAAAAAATCTAACATAACACGTCAAAAAAGTCATTTTTATGAACCTCATTACGAACCTCACATGAACTATCACAGAAACCTCTTTTGCCAACATTTTTTTATACTTATATATACCCNGAATCGTAGGGATCAGATGCAAATCAGCAAAAGCAAAGCAAAGTCCAATTCTATAATCTGCAAAAAGCACCCTAAACACAAGCAAAACCCCGGGGTTTGCTCCGTTTGTCTTAGTGAAAAACTCTCTATGCTTTCAAAAACGACTTCACGAAGTAATACTACAACTATTACTTCTTCTTCTTCTTCTTTGTCTTCTTTGTCTTCGTCTTCGGATGTGTCCTCGTGTTCTTCTCCACCTCATTATAGAACGGACAATAATGTGCTTACGAAAAGTAGATCGTTGGCTTTAATAATGAGAAGAAGAGAAGGTGGAATATTGGAAGAGAGTAATGGGAATAAGAAGAAAGGAGGATTTTTGTCTAAATTGTTAAATCTAAGGAGAAATATAAAGGATGAAGGATTGGCGCATTCAAGAACAATGAGAGAAAGGGTGATAACAAGACTCAGAACTACTGCAGCATGAAAATTTTAAAATTTTATCTTCTTCTTCTTCTTTTTTATTTGGTAAGATCTGTTTTATTATTATTAGTTTTTAGCTAGTCAAATTAGACAAAAGAAAAATATAGTACGAAAATAGGCCACGTCTGTATGAACTATATTCGTGGAAATTGTGAATGATTATCGGGAAAAACAATTACCTTTGAATATATAGTGTACAAAATTTTACAGTTTTGGTTCCTTCTTAGTGCTATGATGATGTGTTAACTTAACAACAACAATAACAACAATAACCCAGTAAAATTTCACTAATGGGGTCTGGGGAGGGTAATGTGTACGCAGACCTTACCACTAACCCGAGAGAGTAGAGAGACGGTTTCCGAAAGACCCTCGGCTCAAAAAACAAAAAGACAAAAGGACAAAAAGGGGATACAATATGAGTATCACAACAACAATCATATGATAAATAGGAACACCATGAAATCCAGAAGAAAGATGCAAAGTAAAGGGAGACAATATTAGTAAATATTAGTATCACCATAACAGTCATAAGAAAAATAGGAACACCATGAAATCTAGAAGAAAGATGCAAAGCAAAAGCGATAGCTAGTAAATAGGACATGCACTAAAAAGCAAAATAGTAAGCCACAACATTCCTACTAGCTATCTTAGACAAAAAT